TTTTGGAAACAGTACTTTGTGTATGAAGGCATATGTAAACATATGCACATGCTTGCACTTGTGTATGGTATCATAGAATAATCTTGAATGGTGTTCTTTAGGACACACACTACCTACCTAGTCTCCTTGAGACTAAGTCTCTCATTGCCCTATAATTTGCTGATTGAGTTAGACTGGTTGGTTAGTGAGGCCTCACCTGACTATTCTCTCCATCGCTAGTGCTATAAGCACTTGCCGGCAGAACTGGAATTTTTCAAGTGTATTAGAGATCAAAGTTAAATCCTTATGCTTGCAAAGTAAGTACCTTACTGATTGTTCAGTCTCCTTGGTATCTTGAAAACAGTAATTTTGCAATGATGACTAAACAACTGATAATTTAAGAAAAACAAATGTGAGATCTTGGCCTATCTTTTTCTTGTGCCAGTCTTTGGTAGAAGAATGGAAACTATACATTCTTTGTGTTGTATGTGCTTCCACACATATGTGTATATTTGTATGGGTACTTATGTAGTTGTTTGTGTGTGTGTTTGTGTGTGTGTGTGTATGTTTGTGTGTGTGTTTGTGTGTGTGTGTATGTTTGTGTGTGTTGTGTCTTCACTGGAATGGTTATTCATGAGAGACAGCACTGCTTGTATTCTAATGCTAATTTGAGCCCCCAAAACTGGTTGCTCCAGAGACAAGAGATTTCACCAGGCAGATGTTAAGTGACCCTTACCCAAGTGTCTTGGTAAGTAAAGATGCCAACAGCCAATAGTTGAACAGAAGAGACACAGGGGTGTTTCCTGGACTTGGGACTGCAAGGAAGAAGCACATAGAGGAGAGAAGAAAAGGGAACCCTCCGTGGGTTTGTTGATCAATAAAAAAACATGGGCTTGAGGGCTGGACAATTGGAGTTAAAAAGAGCCCAGATGAAACATAGAAAATAGTAATTAATAACTCAGGATTATTGATAAGAAGTAGAAAATAACAGCCTGAAGAATAGGCAGCTGCCCAGATATCGTGCTGCTTAAGACATACTGTAAATATAAAGTCTGTGAGTGTGTCTTTCATCCGGGATCACAATAACCAAAAGGTGTGGTAGGAACCCTAGGTTGAGATGTCAAATATTTATTTCTACATATCTTGGAAGTAGATTGCTTGGGGATGATGTCAGTAGATTGATGCCAGTATAAAAGTACATTAAAAGTAGCATGACAAAAATAACTAAATTATACTTACTTTACTTTTTAATACAGTTGTCCAATACTGTAAGTATACTCAAAGTGTGAGGAAAAAGAAATGCTCTTGTGTCTCTTATGTTCTCAGTGACTTTCATTCACCTTCTACTGACAGGCAGGAGAGTAGACAATGAGTAACTCACAGCCACTGACCTAACTTCAGGAAACAAAGCTGACGACAGAGGGCAAACTGTGTGGATATAATTCTTCCTTGCTGTCAAAAGCTGGAATGATAATCGATTACCTTAATAACACTCTGCAATAATGGCTAGAAATATTAGAGAGACTTCAATCACAATTATCTACCTACTCCATTATGCATGCTTTGATGAGTTTTAATGAAAACAGAGGCTGGTGCCAAGCAGAGAAAATTGTAGCATCATAATAGCCAGAGTGCAAGATTGTAGACTGTAAAAGTACCTTAGAAATGAATTAAGCACTGCTTGAGACGAAAAAACAAATTTTGATTTAAAAATTTGCCTAAACATTTCCTACAAACTCCCTGTAATTCTTTTCTATTGACCTACACAAGTGAAGCTGGCATTAGTTTTATCAAAATAGGAAGGCTCTACATAAACAACATTGCACATAAATATGCAATTTACTGAACAACAGAAAAAAAAGTGCACCTGTGAAACAAATGTCTTTTAATAGATGGCCAAGTACCTGTTAATATTAGAAATATTCACAAATTGAAAGCAAACTGAATTCTAAGAGAAAAGTTTTAAAAGTATAAAAAACTGACTTTTTTTTCTTTTTGTTAGTATTATTTTTTGTTTTTTTTTATTTTTTCTCAAATCATAAGTAAGACCTCTAGGCATACCAAAAAAAACATGTCCCTGAAGGGTAACTTTTTGAATTCAGAAGGCCAAAACATAGAACATGCACATCCCTTACAATATCTCAGCCTAGAACTAGTAGTTCTATTCCAACTATGTAAGCATTCTGTGTTCTCTCATCTCCCTCCCCACCCCCTATTTATGGTTATTTAATCAACATCTCTATAAAACCCACCATTTCTAGTCTCTGAATTTCTTCTTTGAACTCTTAAGACAAAGTCCAGAAATCTACTAACTGTGGAGACTTTTGGAAGTTGTTTCTTAAGACCTGCAATCTAAGCTTCACCAGGAACACAGAAATACTGTACAAATTAAAAACACATGTAAATTCACCTGTTGTTTTATATTTAAGAAAAAGAAATTAAAATTCTACATTGTGATCAACTTATTTTGTTCATATTGTACACATTGTTAATGATTTATAAATATTGCAGCATGTGGATGCTGATAATTTGTTATTTGGAGTTATACTTTCACCTAGATGGGACTTTGGGAGTATGGCAAAAATAACCATATACAGAGAAGCATGATAGTGATCAGAAGTGCAGCAGAGAAAATCTCAGAGTCATGACTGATCACCAAAGTAGAGGACCAAAATTAAACTTCCTGAATTGACAGGTTACTTCTCCACTGGTGAAATCGCCAATTAAGGCCAGATTAGATTACATTAAAGGCAGGTTGATTTGGAAGCTACTCTTGGGTGAGTTCACTCACCCCAAGGATTGGATCAAGAGTGTCACCATAAGTGTATGACAGTGTGGAGAGATAGGAAAAGCATACAGAGAGACAAGAGAAAGAGAAGAGAGAGTGGGAGAGACCAAAATGTCTGGATTGTATATGGGAGAGACCAAGATGTCTGGATTGTATAGGGAGGAGTATCTGGGGAAGGCAGCTCAGCCTGTGAGCTAAAAAGTTCAGAGTTGAGGGCAGGGTATTCCAGGTAGGGATGGAGTGATGCTGGGAGAACCTATAGGCCAGGTCTGCTTTGGTATGTAAAAATAAACCCCAGTCCCTTGTTCCACGTGGAAACCAAACAGGAATGATTGGCACCTTTCTTTTGGGTCATTATAAAGTGTGGTAGTAGGGGATGGGATGGAAAAGCAGATTTAGGGAGTAGTTATCAAGCTTCTCAGATTGCAAAATCTCTGAGAAAGTCAAGTTTAAACATTCAGTTCATATGTCAGCTAATTGTCATTTGTTCTAACGTTGGGGTCGTCCTACACAGAAGGTGAAGTCAGGATCACTCATTGCTCATTCAGCGAGCTTTTTATAGTTTTCACGGCAGCAGCCATTAGACACAATGTGATTGGCAGAATACTGTGACTTTTTAAACTGACTGGTCTTTAGAGAATGAGGTGACAAAGACTTCCCTTGTCCTGCTTAATGTGTCCCCACCTACAGCTAGGTCCAATCCTCACCTCCACTCCTTCCAGCCACCACCCGATGCACATGGTCTGATGAATGATAATTAGCCTCTCCTTTCTGGAGGACAACTGTTCCATGACCTTTCCAAAGTTCCTGAGCTGACCTCTTCAGTAGGTGACCTCTATCTTAATCTTGGCTTTATCTCTAGGAAAATTCCAGATCAATTGCTGGGGCCTTGGAGGCTAGCAAATGTTGCTGGGGTAGTCTGCAAACTGCTGCTGATTATTGTCTTTATCAAAGGCCAGGTGGTAGGGCAGATTCAGAGTCCAGGACTTGCTTAGACTTGCCTGGAATTGCCCAGTTCTTGGAAATAGAAATTTAGGCCTGGTCTCCTAAACTGTCAGTTTGAAGCCTGTCATGGAATCAGCTTAGCCTTCACAATAGAAAAGTATGTTAATGAAGAGGTCAGCTCAGAAACTTTGGATCATTTGTCCCTCTGGAAAAGAGAGGCTAATTAACATTCCTCAGACCACAAGGGGTGGGGATTAACCTGCTGGTGGGAAAGGCCCGGAGCACATGGACACATTCCACATGATGGACTGTTGGCCACCTGAAGACAAGGGAAGCCCTTGCCACCTCATTCCCTAAAATCCAATCAGTTTTAAAGTTACACTATTCTGCCAATCATATTATGCATAGTCGCTGTTTCTCTAGGCTAACCCTAAAAGCTGTATAAAAACTGCCCAAAGGAGCTGCCCAGGTTCATTGCCTCTCCTTTTGGATGCAGGATTACCCCAACATGCTGGAACAATAAAATTCCTCTTACTTCTGCACTGATTTCCATCTCTGTGTTGTTCACTCAAGGGGTCCCTTGTAAGCTAAGGCTCATCAGAGTCTTACATTAACATACAACTACCACAATAAAATCTTCATGAAATCATTATCATGATAGAACATGGAATTTGTAACCTAATATATGTTCTTAAGCCACAGTTACACTTTTAATAAACTATAGTGCTTTTGAGGTGAAAGCTGTGTGGTTTTTTTTCTAATGTCCTTACTAGATGATCCAACATTCATAATTATCTGTGATTCTCATAAGACCTTGGTTTGTTGTCATCTCATTCCCATTTCACTGGTGAATCACTGAAGCTCAAGATAGTAAGACCACCCAGATACACACTCCATAGAACCATATTTGAATGACATTCCTTTTTGAGAATGAGGTCTTTCCACTGACATTCATGCCTGGTTTTTTATGTTTATTTGTTTTGTGTTCAACTTCCTTTTCTTTCTGTTGTTGAGTTTTAATAGGGAAGTTGTCCTTGGCAAGGCTTATAGAGAACACTTGGTAAGTCATTCCTATTTCAGGGAATAGTGCTATGACCACTAAGATCCCTCTTTTCTTTGTCTTGAAAATAACTAAGCTAATTCCTATTATTTTTCAAGATATCATTATTCCCTCATGATGTTAGTCCTGTACCTTTTTGTATACTCAGGTATGCCTTTCTAAAAACCCTCTTTCATCTCATTCCACCACTCACCCAAGTTAAGCATGCTTAGAAAACTTGGCTCTTACCAGTACTATTGCAGTACACCTGGAGTGGTTGCAGTGGTCCACTGCCATCAGAGTCAACATAGAAAAACCCAGATGGGTTCCCTCTGTGTCTGTATACCTCACAGGATTGCTCATAGGTGGCTGGAAAGACACAAAAGCAAATTATACTTGACTCTTAATATCCCTCTGCAGGAGTCAGTAGCTCATACTCAAGGCCCTGTTTATGCTTTTTCCTTTCCTTCCTGTATAGCCCCAAGGGCCTTTTCAACATTCTAGTACTTTGCAGACTTGTGCCCTTTCATTCTCGTTTCTGATGCTGTAAACAAAATACCCTGACAAGAAGCAACTTAAGTTAGAAAGAGTTTATTTTAGTTCACAATTCTAGGTCTCAATCCACCACTGTAGAGAAGTCAACACTGCAGAAACTTGAAACAGTGAATCACATCACATCCATAGCCAAGGACACTAAGAAGCAATTGTATATTTGCTTCCTCGATGGATTCCTTATACTCTGCTTGATTTCTTCACTCAATTAGCTTAGAAACTATTCTATTCGTGTTGGGTTTTCTTACTCAACTTGACACAAGCTAGGGACATTTTTGTAAATGGAACCTCAATGGTGAAAATGCCCCTGCCAGACTAGAGTGTAAAGAATAGTCTAGAGAATTTTCTTTATTAATGATTGATATGGAAGCGTCCAGCTCACTGGAGGCTATGCCACTCTTTAGAAGATTATCTTATGTGGCATTAGAAAGAAGGCTGATCAAGCCATGAGAGCAAGCCAGTAAGTAGTACTTCTCCATTGCAGCCCTTCTGTTCCTGCCTCCAGGTTCATCCCTTTAGTTCTTGCTCTGACATACTTTCATGAAGAAATATAACTAAGCTGAAATACATCCTTTCCTTATGGTGTTTATCACAACGGAAACCTAACTAAAAGAAGGAAGTCCTATTTAGGGGATGATGCCACCCACAGTTGGCTGGGTCTTCCACACCAATTAATTTAAGACAATCCCTATAAACATGCCCTCAGGCGAACTCTATTTTAACAGTCCCTCAGTGAGATTCTCTTCTAAGGTGACTCTAGGTTGTATCAAGCCGAGATTTAAAGCTCACTATCACATGTTCTTAATTTATTATCATTCATTCATTCTTTTTATCACATCTCATGAGTACATGTACCCTAAATTTCTTCCCTTGTCCCTTTTGATTTGCATTCTACCTTTCTATCCCCACAGTACACTACAATAAAGTCATGAAAATATTGGTCTATCTTCTCTATGCTAAGAACCTCTAAGATCCATGGATGAGTGCCATATGACACTGCATAATGGCATCTATCAAATGGCACCAGGGACTAACACTTATTTGGTTAGTTAATTTAAAATGTACATATGCTGCTGCTGCTATACCATTTTAGCAATAAAATATGAGAACACCACCTTGAAGTATATGTGGCGTGTGTGTGTGTGTGTGTGTGTGTGTGTATGCATGTTTGTGTGTGAGAAGACCAATAGATAACTTCAAAGATCATTTCTTACTAGTCACACTGTTTTTCTCTCCTTGCTCTTTGGGTAGGCTGGCTGGCCAGTAAACTTTAAGGATCTGGCTATCAACACCTCCTCAGCATGACAATTACAAGCATGCATAACCTATTAAGCTTGCATATGTTCTGGGAATCATACTCAGGTCCTCTTGTCTGCAAAGCAATCAGTTTACCAACTGAGATATCTTGTAGTACAGAGAGATACTCCCTTAAATTTATACATCCCAAACTTAGGAAAGTGATTGTTACAATATTAGATCTAGGTTCAATCCATCTTTGTCTAACAAGTGCTTCCTAATTTACAGATATATGTCAACAAGTATGATTTTCACCAAAGAATGGATCCCTGGGTAAGATTATCTGTCTGTGTCCTTATGTTTACAAACCAGAGCAGGCATAGAGGTCTTTGTGTGTTCACACAAGAGCAGAAACAGGTCATAGGTGTCACACAGTTTGGAGTTTTAACAGAGCTGTAGATTTGATAAATATTAATATCAATAAACTAACACTAGCAGATTTGAAATAATGCAAAGAAGATGGCTTAAATGACATATTAAGCATGCCCCCAAAGGTATTATATGTTTGGCTAAGGTAGAATCCACTGGTCTCCTTAGGAAACATCCCGATGAAAAATCCTAATGGGGAGATCTTGGAAATCTCTACTGCATTCCTCAAGGATGAGAACAGCTTCACAATGGTTGAAGATGAGCTGCTGATCTACTTGTATGTTTTCAGACAGAGGTATGTTTCTCAAAAGTCTCCCATCTTCAACTCTACTGGCAGAACTGGATGTCATCTATGGTTTCTATATGTTTGGGATGGTGCCTCTGGCCAGCCACAACATCCAAGTACTGATGCAGGCAGCAACGGTTGTGATAGGGACAAACCTGCTTTATCTTTTGCAATTCTTCTGCTTTTACTTCTTTGCTATTCTATGGCCAAATGCTGCTGCCTTCTGGTAATTTGATTCTCACTGATGGCAGCATGGGATTTAAGAAAACAGTTTTAGTTTTTCTCTGGCTCAAAAGCTCCTGGTTGTTAGAGTGAGAGGCTACAATTTTATTAACTCTTGATGAGTGAAAGAGAAAAAAAAAAGGGGGGGAATTTAAACACATACATAAACATACATACACACACACACACACATTTTTCCGGCCCAAACAGCTGTCTCAGTAATTTCACAAGTGTTCATGAATACTTATATGCAAACACATATACCTATACACATATGCATATAGATACATATAGACAAAAATACATATACATATATACATTTTGGTGGATAAATAAGAGCCCCCAAAAGCCATACTTTATTTCTTCTCTCTGGCAATTTATACCTACTTAGACAAAAGTTCTTCATAAAATTACCACATGTATATAATATTTCACAAAAGCAGAGTTACAGAAGGATGTTCATAGTAAATTCAAAGTAGTGTTTCACACTATTAGCATATCATTAGTTCAAAGCAACAGCTTTGCATGGCCTTGCTTTATTACAGTGCACATGTGTTTCTTCATCCTTGGACATGGCATATAATGAATGATTTTTTTGATCACAAATTTATTCCAAGCCTATTTTCTTATCCAAGTACAATTAGCCTGTGATATGAGATGATTTGCAGAGCTCTATTTCCCGTAACTTTCTATAGGGGACTTGAGATTACTTGTATCAATTTAAGAGTTCTATAAAATCATGATCAGGATTCGTGACATCTTCAATTTGTCTATGGAGCATTACTACATGAGAGTACATCTTCATGTTGATTTGCAGAAAAATTGCCCAATAGCATAGGCTGATGGTCAGGAATCATTAGACTTTATAATAATGGGAGGAAACAGCATATCTGGAGCAAGAAGAAATCAGGGGTGAAGTCATTTTGCTCACACATCACAGCCATGTAAAATAGTGAGCCATCTCCAGAATGATCACTTGTGTACCTTAGCCCTTCCTAGAAGGCTTTTGTCAGGATGATGTTGTAATATAGGTTTGTTGTCTCTTAGATTGTACTCTGTGTGTGTGCATATGTGTGTGCATATGTGTCTCTGAGTGTGTGTGTATGTGTGTGTGTGTCTGTGTGTGTCTGTGTGTGGTGGGTTTTAATTCCTATCTGATACATCTAGACCACAAGCAACTTTGGAAAGAAAAGTTTGATTTCATCTTGAGCTTGTCGTAATTCACCTTTTAGGGAGGACAAGGCAAAATTTAAAGGCAGAAACACGAGTCAAGGACTGTTACAGAGGCCTTGAAAGAGTATGGCTTACTGACTCCCATTTCATGGCTTGTTCTGTCTGCTTCATTATAACATTCAGTGGCACCTGCCATTAAATAACACCATCTATAATTGGCTGCCCGCTTTGATCTTTGTTCAAAAAAAAATTACCTACAGTCTTGCCTACAGGGCAATCTTATGGAGGCATTTTATCAACTGAGGATTCATCTTCTGAGATGACTATCGATTGTTTCAACTTAACAAATTCTAGCCACCACAGTATGCCGAGATGTTCATATGTAGGTGAAAGGACAACCTCAGGCATCTGTTAACATACTCATCCTTGTTTTATTAAGGGTTCCTTGTTTTTCCACTGCATATACAATAGGCTAGCTGAAAATACAGAATAGGCATACTTTCCGGCTATTATCTTAATGCATGTCTGGGGGATGTGAACTCTGGCCTTCATGGCAAAAGCACTTTAGCCCATTGAACCATCACCCCAGCTCTGGATTCTGCTATTTCTATGTAAGGATTCAGCTATGCAGATCTGATACTTTGTATCCTTTTTACCAATGCACTCTAATTCCTTCAACATGTTCTTGCTCTTATTTCCTATGCTTAGTTTTTTTGGTCTGTTTTGCTATCTTGATATTCTTCTCTTTTTGTTGTTGTTGTGGTATTTGTTTTGATGTGTGTGTGGTTACTTGCCAGTTTATTCATTTTTATTTCTATTTTTATTTTTTTGCCATTCTGAGTTTAAATTATTGTTCAAACTTTAGTTGAGTTGTTTCAAATTAGGTCAAGCATTACTAAAATTTTCAGTATTCCTTTTTCTACATGAGCTTAATATAGCTTGCCACAAAGGATATATGTGATGAGACTGGGAATGCACATGCTCTTATATATAAAGATGGTCTTATAGTGTCTTTTGAGAACAGTTCAGATTATAGCACACAGTTTCACAGATGTCAGATTTTCTTTTTAATTTTCTGACACAGGAATTGAAAATTAACTAAGAAGTTTGGTATAGAAAGACACTAAAGATGCGGAATCTGTGTCTTTGTGCTCCTAGGTAGCCTTGTTTTTTGCCAGATGCCAATGATGCTAGCTCTTCTTCAGAGGGAGTGTTAATGTAGAAATGAAGGCCCATTATGTGAAAATAAGCAGGTCTCTGTAGGTTTGAGGTGAGCCTATTCTACATAGAGAACTCCTGGTCAGCCAAGGCTACATAGTACAAGTTTGTTCAAAAGAATAAAAGTAGTTGGGCCAGATTACTCTCTTGTCCTTGGGCCTTTATCTTAAGATGTACTAAGGACATGGATGGAATAAGTGTCCTTTAACTGAGATACTTCATTGAATTGCTGTTTCTAGTGCAATCCCTATGA